TTGGCCACCAAATGCTCCTTTTAAAAGTGATCTAGATGCCAGAGTTCACAGGTAGCCAATATAAATGGAATTTATATAGTCTGTCTCCTTATTATACTTAACTTTTTTGTGGCAATCGGTGCATTTTTGAAAAATTAGAATACTTATTCCATATGCCAGTAGAACAGAATGCATTGATAGCAGGGCCTAGCCAAGCAGAAGATGTACAAAAGGGACATGTGATCCATGTGAGTGGGGCTAAAGCTTTCTTTGCAGTAGATCTTGCACACAAATATAAGGAAATGTACGCAGCTGCACTGTTCTGGGTATCTCATAGGATGGCTCCACATCTCGCTTTTTCTGCCTATCAAATTAGGGCATTGCACTAACTCACAGACTAATCATTCTGGAAGAGCTTCAGAGGGCCTCCAGCCGGACCTTCCCCTTTTGCAGATGTGCACACTGAGGCCTGACTCAAGGAGAACATGCTGGCAAGGGGCTGCCATGGAATGTCCCAGCAAATTGTTGGCCCTATAACTTCAGCTCTGGGATTTTTGGATTTCCAGCCAATCTGTTCCTTATCATACATGGGGTCAGGTGTAGCCACATACTTAGTGATCTTCCTGCCAGGAGTGATGATATATCATCTAGCTGACCTCAAAACAATTCTACTTCTGAAGCAGAAGTTCCTCTCTTTTTAAAGTAATCAATAGAATCACGGCATGAGGGATTTCTTAACTATGAGTAAACTTGGGAGGCAGCCCTCCCAGGGCTAATTTAAATAGAAGAGCAGGTAAGAGTTCACTTGGGTTCATTTTTTAGTTTTTAAAATGCCACTCTTTTCCAGCAGAATCAATTTTTAAGCTATTAACCCAGCTCTCACCAGACATTTTTCTTGTGGTTTGGTTTATTCTGGTTGTTACTTAATTCTCCCCAAAGGAAAACACCAGAAGCTCATAGGAATGTGCTCCCGCCCCTGCTGTGGGCACCACAGAAGGTGGACAAGGGTGGGGCTTTGCAGGGAGGGGGAGGCTTGGAGGTACACAGGCCTGGGCTGGTGCTGGGGCTGTCTACGTCTCACTGTGCAAACTTGAGGATGAGGTCTCCTCTATACAAAGGGATAAGAGGAAAAGTTCAAACAGGCTGGCATCACAGCCTCCTGACGGTGCTGATGGGAGTGCAAATTGGTCCACTTTGCAGGGAAACAGTCCAGCAATAGAGGAAATTTTAAGATACCCACACCCTTGATCTGCAGTCCAGCTTCTAGGAATATATCCTTCAACACACCATCCTGTGCGTTCCAAGCGTTATATGTCCAAGGATGGTCACTGCAGCATTGCTTGCAATATCCAGATATTTGAAAACAACCTGAATCTGTAGGAGATTGGTTGAATAAGTTCTAGTACATCCTTGTAAGAAAATACTCTGTACCTATTAATAAGAGAGGCAGCTCTGTAAGAAGTGATTTGGATGATTTGGAAGGGTTCCAAGGTGGGCCATTAAGGGAAAAAACTAGATGCAGAACAGTGAGCATATGAATATGCTATTTGTATAAAATAAAAAGGATATGTATAATCATCTTATGTATTCCCGGAATCTCTTTGGGTGGATATACTGTAGGAGACGTCCAACTTTTGCCCTAACCTCTTAGACTCTCCAACTAGGCCAGAGAATTAAGTTGACAGAAGACAGATCAACAGGATAATACAGATTTTACTTTTATACAGGTACACGGGAGTCTTCACAGGAGAATGAAGAACCCAAAAAGTGGTTAGGCCTAAGTGCTTAAGTTGAACACAGTGTAGTAATTGTGAAAAACTAACCAAAGTATACAGGGAGGCTGAAGGGAGGTTCGTCCAACCGGATTTATTTGTGCATATTTCTCTAGGTCTGACCTGTCTGTCTCAGGTGTTGAGAATGTTCTTTTCCTCCTAATATAGGGAGGGCATTTTTCACCTGGGAGTTTTATCTCCTATTTTCAGGGAAAAAAAGGGTAAACCAGAGCGCCCTTCTTGTACCTGCTGCTTTTTAAGTATCTTTGACTCAAAATAGTAATGACAAAGTGGCATATTTTGGGGTGGCACATCTGCTATCCTTCAGTACAATAAAGTGGTGATGGTGCTTGCCTCTGGGGAAGGCTTTCAGGGAAGCCGAAGGGCTCCACTCAATTGCCTAAATCTCAGAGTAGACGTGTATCCTCAATTGTTCCTATTATTATTGTTATTATTGGTTTTGTAGTTTGTCTGGTAGCAGTTATTGTTAATTCTACCTCTTCTTGCTTAGATTCCTTACATCTCTCCTTCCTCCCACTTGTCTCTGCTGCCATATACCAAGTCATCATTCTTCCAATGGACCACAGTAATAGCCACATGACTGATCACGTTTCCACCACTCTTGGCTCTTTCTGATCTACTCTGCACGCAGCAGCCAGTGTCCTCTTTCAGAAATGAACTCTCCCATGGCTTCCTGTTGCAATGAGCGTACAGCCCAATGGCCTTGCCAAGACATCCAACCCCCAACCCCTCACCCCCAGATCTAAGCATGCCTACTTCTCAACTTCATCTCAGCTACTCTGACCTCTTTTCTGTTCCCCAGATCTGCCCTTCCTGCCTCTAAGCTCTGGACTAGATGTTCTTTTCCCCTCAAATGTTCTCTGAGTTTTCCATGGCTGCCCCATTACCATATATCAGGTCTCAGAGTTTGTCTAAAATAGTGTCCCCTCCAAGCTTCTCTCTTCCCTATTGTGATCACCCTAGTTTTTCTCTCTCAGCATATATCACAATTTGTGATAGTTTATTGGTTGACATGCATGCTTACTATCCATCTTCCCCCCCCTGGATTTTAAGCCCCATGAGGGTAAGGTTCTTGATTATCTTGTCCATCCCTCTATCTCCGAAGCCCAGCTCAGGGCCTGGCATGTAGTAGGTGCTGAGTGCAAACTTTTGAATAGGTGACTGTCTGGATGAATGAACAAAGTTGGAAATGAGTCCATGGTCTGGCTCTGCAGGTGGTTTGAGGACCAGCTCCACTGACAAGGTGGAGGCAGGAGAGGCCAGGGGAGCCAGCTGCCTGCAGGAAGCTTGGGTTTTAGGTACCAGGACTCTTAGCTAGTCCTCACTTAGGAAAAATAATTCAGAGATGACTGTGGGTAATGCTTGTCTTGGAACAAAAAACCCTTGGCAAATCTTCACTTTCAAGCCTTGACCCTGACTTTGATCCCATTTGACGCACGAGTTGGAGAACTGGTATTCAAGGCCTGCTTTCCAGGTTTCATCACTGTGGTCCCAGTATTGTTCCCAACAGTGAGTAGGGAGCTTAGCTTCAATCTCAGGCTCTGCCACTTACTAGGGGACTGATCTTTGGTGAGACTCATCTTTTTTTTCTCCCCAGTAGTAAAATCTCCCTTGCCTTATTGTAAAGATTATATTGGTTAGTATGTGTAAAATGTTTACAGTGATTATGTTAGATAGTAAAAAAAAAAAAAATCGGTTCCTCTTTTGTGTAACTGGAATTAGCACAGAATTACCCTGAGAAAATATTGGCCTTGGCCTTACTCCTGGTCCATCTGGGCTCCTGTCATCTAGAATTCATTTATTCCCTCACTTATTCAGGGATTTATTCCATGTAAAGACCCACTGAGTCCTTACTTCATGCAGAACTCCAGTTCATACCAAACACAGGTCAGGCTCCCTGGGAATCCAGCTATGGGCCAGAGATGTGCACGCAGGACATTCACTGGGAGTGACAGTCACAGGGTCATGTAGAGGGAGAAGTGCAACTCTGACGCAGTCTCAGCCAAGGCTTCAGTTGTTTCCGTGAGAGCTGGAGGTGTGGGGTGGAATTGTGACACAGGGTGACTCTTCCTACCATGCAGGGACCAGTTGTTGGGTAGAAACTGCCACTAGGAAGGGGGCATGCCCTGTGCCCAAGCACTCTCTTTAGCACAGGTGATTTGGGAAAGCTTCCAGAATTTCCAGCTACTGAGAGAATGAACCTGAGTCTGAAAGGAGGGATCTGGGTGGAACACATGCCTCCTCTGCATATACCTGGACTAGCCTTGGCCTTGCAGAGACAGCAGGGCCAATCTTACACTTGTGGTTCTGGATAGACTTGTTCCAGTCCTGGTTCAGCCACTTAGCTGGCCCCCCGACAAGCTCCATTGCCTCTGTAACTGAGGGTGCCTGGTACCCTGAAAACCCTCCTCACTATTAACTACAGAATGTTTTACATGGTTGTGGAGTGGTTTAAAGTGAGAGGAAGATTGTCAATGCGCTCAATACAGCCATAAATACTCATCCACGTGTCTTGGTGGAGGTGGGGGTGGCTTTGGGTAATTCAAATAACAAAACGGTGTTTTCGGTGTAGAAGTGCCACTTAGACTGAAGAGCAGGGCAGCTCTCGAGCAGTGGCCCTGTCCCTCTAACAAGGTGCTGCTCTCACCTCCAAACTCTCAGTGGGCGGCTGGTCACTGCCCTCGTGCCCTCCATAGGAATGATGGGCATGCTTCACATGCACACAGACTGACTCTGATGCTGTCTCCCTCCAGGTGACACAGAAGTACTCCCTGGTGATCGTGCAGGGCCATCTGGTCTCCGAAGGGGTCCTGCTCTTAGGCCACCAGCACTTCTACATCTGCGAGAACTTCACGCTCTCTCCTGTGGGGGATGTCTACTGTACCCGCCATTGCTTATCCAAGTGAGTTCCTGACTTCTAGCAGACTCTTCCCTGAGCCTCGACTTCCTTCTCGGCCACCCCTACTCCTACCCCTCCCACCTAGGTGTTATTGTGGTCTTCGTTTGGGCCTGAAACTGAGCCATGAGAAAAAGCAGAAGAACCTTAAGACATAGGCATCCATGACTGTGGTTTCCCAAAGTTAAAATCTGGAGTGGGTAACAAGGAAGTAGCTCCTCCTGTTTCATGTGATATGGAATGGACCTCAAGACAAGCGGGATCTCGCCTTAGGTTGTTTGGGTGACTGAATCCAGTCCCATCAGCTTACTCATTCAACAGCTTACTGATTGCTCATTCTGTGTGAAACATCAGGCTCTGCCCCTCATGCTGAGTGAGGCACACGAGTGCACTCGGCAGCACAAACAGGTTCTTTTGGAAAGAATTTGGAGCACACTGTTTTCATGGGACAAAATATTTGTCACGGGAGGACTCTTCTGGGCTCATGTTTGATGACATGGGGCTAGTGTGCTGAGGGAGGGCTACTGGAAGACATGGGCTGAGATCTGGGTTTGGAAGGATGGATGAGATTTGGGTAGAAATTTGAAGAGCCATTTTTTTTTATACCAACTAATACCAGAGGTCTTTGGCAGGAAATTCAGAGGTTCTTCTTTATAATCAAGTATAGTTGTTCTATTTGGGTTCAGGTTGCTCTCATTGATTAATTCTCTTGTGTTTATAAAGTACAGCCACTCAAAATCAAAGTGACTGTGTTCACACTTTTGCTAGGAGTTCAGTTGTCAGGTCATATGCTTCCTCTTGATCATCACATTTGAATACATTTGGATGAAGACATCTTGATTTTTCCAGCTAGTGAAGGTTCAAATGAGGACAAGATAACCTCTTAACCCAGTGGCTCTCAAACTAATATCAAGTCACCTTGAGGGCTTGTTAAAACGGACTTCTGGGACCCATCTTCACCTCAGTTTCTAGTTTGATAGGTTTGCAGTAGGGCCTGAGATTTTAACAAGTTCTCAGCTGATGCTGATGCTACTGGTCTGGGACCACACTTTGAGAACCACTATTATAGACAATCAACAGAAGAACCAGAGTCTTAACCTGCCAATAACTAAGAATTTTAACACCTGGTTGTCATATCATTTCCAGCCTATGCAGGAAGCAAGAGTTTAAGGAGTGTGGAAGAATAGTATGGCAGCTCACCCTCCCTTGATTTAGATTTGCTCTAAAATACTTGGCCTTTTTCTTTCTGCTAAATTCCATCTTTTATTCATACCAAATGTTCACCGATTGCTGTGAGTCTTCTGTGCTTTTCCAAGGCAGGAGGAACATAATTAATACTTGGCACATGCATCCCATCTTATTGCTCATGTTTTATTGATACTGATCAATATGGACAATGGGTCTGCAGACTTGCCTTTCTGAGAGCTGATGAAAGCTTTCTACTCTACCTCTATGCATGGAATGCCCGTGTAATGACTTGTAGAATCCATTGCTTCACTCTCGACCTCTGGTTTAAATTGAGTTAGTGTTAGATAAGATCTTATTGATTAGGTAAATTGTGTTTATGAGGTGCATCTAATCATGATCAAACTGACTTTATCTTCCCTTTCAGTAGAAGCCCCGTTGTCAGGTTGTATGTACTCACTTGATTTGCAATGACGAAGGAGACTTCCCGTGTCTGGAAATGTACTTTTCTGGAATGCAAGTAGGAGTGGAGTGAGAACAAATTACTACCCTGGAATATCATTTGGGAATTGCTTAAGTAATTTTAGTCACCAGACCTCAGAGAAGTATTTGTTAATCAGACAGTGCTTTCTATCTGAGGTCTTGTCTGTTGCCCTAAGAAACTGCTAGCACTCATGAAGATGTGGTTCTCAGAGACTGGCTATTAGATCATGTCAGATCAATGGGGATTAAGTCTTATTTTGACCACGGAGACTAAGGAAGATACATAAATAAGCCAGTTAAAAATAAAGCTAACGCAACCCTGAAATGTCTCTCTAAAAGACTGCCATCAAATTGAGTATAGTTGGGCACTAGACCTTGAAAGAGGCTCTCTGATGCATCATAAAAATATCCCAAATAAAGCTCAGGAACAGTGCAAATCCTCCAGCATTGATTGCACTTGTGTACTTTGGAACTTTCCTCAGAAAGTAAGAACCTTTCCAGAAGGTTTATTTTGCCTTCAGTGAGATCCCCTGTTGCCTGAATAGAATGACTATATTTGTTTCCTAAGGCTGTATAACAAAGTACCAAAAACTGGGTGGCTTAAAAAAACAAATTTATTGCCTCGCAGTTCTGGAGGCTAGAAGTCCAAAATCAAGGGCTGTGGTATCTCCACAGCTCTAGGGGAAGATCCTTCCTTGCTCCTTCTAGCCTCTTATGTGTCCATGCAGCCCTTGGCCTTCCTTGTCTTGCAGATACATCACTCCAGTCATGGCCGCCTTCTCTCTGTGTGTCTTCACAAGATCTTCCCTGTGTGTTTGTCTGTGTCTAAATTTCCCCTTTAATTAAGGATGCCAGTCCTATTGGATTAGGGCCAAATACCCTATTTCTAAAAAAAAAAAAAAAGTCACATTCTGAGGTACGGGGGGGTTAGGACTTCAACATATCCCTCTTGGAACACACTACTCCACCCAAAATAGTGGCAGGCAAGCTCACAAGGTACAGCATTGGATTCATTTTGTGGGAATCCAAGCCATCCAGCTGGTACTTTGTGATAGGGTGCTTATAATCAGGTATTTTCTCCACATCAGTCAGCAATTCTGAAGCACCATTGCTCTGTTGAATTCGATTCAACAAATCCTTACCAGAATTCTGTACTGTGCCAGGCACTGGGGTAGACTCCATAAACACAAAGAGGCAAGTCAGATGTGCACTGAGTCTGGTAAAGAGTTTTTGATCTAGTGGTTGATTCTGCGTTAAAATTACAGGTATAAATTCTGACAACAATCAGATAACCTCAGAAATAATTTCAAATATTTTAGTCTGACATCCCCAGTTTGACTCTCAAAGACCAGGTCAACCAATATGATTATCACTTAGTTTACTGTGGTTTCCCTAGTTAAGAATATTAAGAATTATACTATGACCACTCTGGAAAACTTGCATATGTCATGATAGATGTCAGGCAAAAGAGCTGTGAGTACCATCCTATAAACTATGACCACAGCTGTACCTAAAGAAGAACATGAATCTGCTCCTCCTTTCTATTCATTGACCTTAGGTGCTTGAATTCTGACTTAATGCACAGTACACAGCGTTGGCCAAGAGACCCAGTCACAGCCGTGTGTGACTAACACTACATAAGACAGAACTCCAGTTTGGATTACATCAGTGAACTTAATAATGTTTTTTTAGAGTTTAGTCTTCCTGAGCATTCGGGTCTGTCTGAGCATTCCTGCCCTATATGGTTATTCAATCCCTCCAAGTAGGAGAAAAATGAGTGCATTTCCTCCTCAAAGTTCCTTCCTAAAAGCATTTTCCAGAGCACTCTTCCTCATGTCACCATTCCTCACGTCTCAGAATGCCGGGTTGCAGGATCAATCAGCAGAGAGCACACTGAAAGGAGGGAGCTTGCAGGGAGAGCTCTATAAAAGCCAGCGAGCCTCTCTGCCTCAGAGGAGAAAAGGTGTTAGTGAATGAGCTTGGATTTTAGAGTCAGAGGACCCGGGTTTGAATCCAGTTCCCCCTGACCTTGGAAAAGTCACTTCTCTTTGGAATGCAGTTTCCTCATTTCTGCTCTGGGAATAATAATGACACACACTCTGTAAGGGTTCATTATGAGACAGCAGACGTGGTTGGCAGGCTGTAGGGCATGATAGTTGCCAGGCCCCTCAGCAAACATGCCCAGAGCTCCAGGGAGGATGCGGAACATGGAGAGCCATGCGCGTGGGTCTGTGCCCCAGCGAACTCACTCATAGTCTGCCAGGAGAGGTGTGGCTAAGGTAGAGATGACATTTGCTGTTGTGCCCACAAACCTGGGGTTATGGGAGCACAGAGGAGGCGTCGCTGTCATCCTCATCAGTGCCTTGACCTGGGATGCTGGTTGACCTGAGCTAAGGGTAGGAACCAGAATGACCACCATAGCCCCACTGGGAGTCAGAGAAGTTCAGGGGAAGCTCAGCTTAGCCCCTGACGGAGTGACCTAGGTCTTAGCCAGCAGATTTGAATTAAAGCACTGAGGCAGAAGCATCCAGAACCAAAGCCACATTTGTATTTGATCAATCCTACAGCTCTGTGGCTCAGAGCAGGGACCTGAGAGGCTTGTTCTAAGAAGGTGCAGGAGGAGCTGTGAAAGGCTGAGTCTATATCCTGGAAGGCTGGCTGTGCAGGAGGCTGAACAACGGGCTCAGGCTGTGTCTCCATGAGCAGCCTGCCCTTCTACCTTCAGGGGCAAAATGTGCATCGTGCACAAGTCCAAGCCCTGAGCACTGCAGATGCTGGGCCACCCCAAATGACCGGTGGTTGGACAAGTCCTGCTGACCTGTGTCACACACCCATGTCTCTGCTTCCCCTGGGAGGCATGGCATGGAGGCCTAGTGGCCTGCTTTGCAGGCCGGGTGGGGAGGGCCACCCTCGGAGCTGGGGTGGGGAGCAGGCAGAATGCCAGCTTCTCACCCATTCCCGCCGCCTTGTGCGCGTGCAGGGGCTCTTCCAGCTCTTGGCTCTTTGGATCTGTGTTTGATACACAAGCTTCTTGAGGGCTGAGGTGCCTGGGGATGGGGGGGGGCACTCCATTTCGCCAGTCCTTAAAGGGCATTTGGTAGAGCTTTTGCAGACATGTACACAATTTACATTTGCTGCATAACTCAGAAGTAAGTCTATAACTGAAATCAGTTTTGTTAAGTCCCCGTTCATTGGTGGTGAAAAGCTTCATCTGGTTCCCTAAAGGTGTTTCCGTTACTCCCAGTGCACAAACTGTCATCTTTGGGATGAATCTGAGTCCAATTCATGATTCTCCCTTTCTCTCCTCTCCCTCTCTTCCCAAGGGGGTCATTCTGCCCTCTGAGAGGGCTCCTGGCTCGGGGCTGGTGCTCTGGGGGCCACCGCCAATGCTGTGGCCAGTGTCCTCCAGCCCACTGGTGCTCTCAGCCTGCTGCACACGTCTTTGGGGCTCAGGGGTGGCTGGACCACCCCAGGCCCCATGTTGCCAAAGCCATGCTGAACACAGGCTTTTCTATGGAGGCTCTTCATCTTTCTGCCCTTGCCTTCTGGCCTGAAATTTCTCCATGTGTAATGGGGTCTTTCACTCTTCCCCACCCCCTTGACCCATGTTTGACCCCTGTACCCAGAGAACCTTCTTACACGCACACCCTGCACCCTGTGCCACTGTGTGCCCTGGAGGCTGTCCCCTCACTTGGTGACACTGGTGCCCCAGCCTGCTCCCGGGCAGGGCTGACAGAGGCAGGAGCTCCGAAGGGAGTCGGTGGGTCAGCAGTGTCTCTAGAACCACAGGTGGGGCCGTGGGGCAGGCAGGGGAACAAGCCCTCCACACGCCCTCTCACTGCTTGTCCTGTTTCCTTTCCAGCATCAGTGACCCATTCATCTTCAACATGTGCAGCAAAGACCGGTCCTCTGACCATTACTCGTGCCAGATCCACAGCTACAGGGACCTCAGGGAGCTCCGGCAGGCACGCTTCCTGCTACAGGTATGCCGCGCGGAGGGGGCGAGAGGGGGCGCCAGCTTATGGCATGGTGGTCCAGGTGCTAGTGAGGCCCCATCAGAAGGTGAGGGACACACTCCGTGACCCCCTTCACACCTGTGCACAGCCCAGTGCCCTTTGGGACACATCTGTGAGTGTGAATTGTGTTGGGCCTGGTTTCCTGGTTGGCAGTTGTGACGTCTGCTTCACTCTTTCCCCAGTTCCTGCTCTTTGGCTGTTGGAACCTTCTCTCTCTTGGTGCGTCATTTAGGATCCAGCCTCTTTGCTTTATTTTCCCCTTGACATGCCCAGAGCGGCCTTGGAGATTCTGGAATACAGGACAGGGCAGCTCCGTTGCCTCATGGCAGAGCTGTTGACTGAGAGTCGAGGGTCAGCCTGCCCTGAGCGTGTGGTCCACCTCCACTGACATCCGCCCCTGCCCTTTGCCCTCCCCACGGCCAAACCCATCTCCAAACTCCCAGGCATTTCCTGGTCCAAGTGGTTTGGAGATCTCCTGATTGTCCCCTCCAACCAGGGTCCCAGGGCTTCAGCCAGTGCCTCCAGGGGCTCACCAGGGGCTAAGGGAGCCAATTCCCCTCAGAGGCAGGGCTCTGCCACCAGCTGGGCACAACCTGAAGCTTCTCACTTGAGTTGCAAAGAGAGGAGCCCCTGCTGGCCTCAGACACATCTGGCCTCCCCAGCCCAGCCTTACTAGTAACAAAGCTGCATCTGTGTCCAGAGGCCTCCCAGGTGGCAGGCAGAGGAATAGATGAGAGACCACCCTTATAGAAGGGGAGGGGCCCCGATCTCTCCTCTACCCTTTCTGTAAGGTCTCCGTTCTGCTAAGGCCAACAGGGGGACAGTGTTGGACCCTAATCAACCTAGCCATAAGAGTGTTTTATTGGTAAATGTCTTTGGGTCCGTAATTCATCATGTGATCCTCCTGCCGGGGGCGGGGAGGGGGTCCTTATGATTCTCTGACACTGAAGCTCAGGGAGGCCTTTCAGGGGGGCTCACTCTAGAAAGGATCAGCAAGCTGCTAGAATCCGACCAGCCCTCTTCCTCCCTCTCCACTGATTTTGCCCACAAAGTGTTGGTTTTCATCTTGCCTGATCTTGGTGTGCTTCTTTGCAAGGAGAGTGAGTGAGAAGGGGGCAGCTGGGAGAAGCCCTGCCCGGAGGGTTCTGGGCAATGTGGCCAGCATGGGCCTCATCCTGACCGTGGCTCTGCCACTGTAGCAACCCCACTTTGTGTCTTTTGTGACCATTACATATATAGCATTCGGCACATTTTTTGGCACACTAAGTACTTGAAATTACTATTTTATGATTATGCCTACCTTATAGGTTATAGGTAGTAGCATATAGGTATCAGTAAGCGAGTTTCTTCCCCCTCAGTCCTCCTCAGTAAACAGTGATGATTTCCAGATGTTTGGTTAGCCTGACAGTAGTGAAAGGGAGAAGCAGGAGGGCACGTGAGCATGGCCAAGTAGGGTGGATTTGGGGGCAGGAAGAGCTTTGTGAGCAAGGCCCCCATTTCTTTTGGGTTCTCCCAGGAGAAAGTCAGATCTTGGCTATTCAAGGTTTCCAGGAGAAACCATAATGTCTACCTTGATCATCTGTTTTGCACAGTTTTTAGATTTCTATTTGTAGAAAAATATCCGAGGCTCCTAGTGCACCCCCCAGCCAGAGGGGTTTGCTTATCATCGCAGATACTTTGCCTCTGCTCAGGAGCCTAGTGAACTGGAGTTGGAGAGCTCACTTTCAGCCAGGTGGAAGCAGGATCTGACTGTGTTGTTGGATGCAACGTCCCCTCTGTGCCTCCATGCCCGGGCCTCACCCCTGCCTCCAGCCCTGGGAATCCTCTCCTTGACCCCATCTCATCCCTGAGCCTCATCCTCCATGTAGACTCTCTCTGTGGCTGTTCCAAGTCTGTTATTTACACAGCTTGGAATAGAAAGAAGGGAGACAGGGAGGGAGAAGAGAGAGGAAAAAGAGAGGAGCGTATGTAGAGTTCATTTAGGCATTAACAAAATACCCTTGCTAGGTCAGCATGGCCACATCAAATTGGCTCTGCAAAATGAGCTGGGCAAAGAGACCTGGGCCTGCAAGTCTGTAGGTTGGCACACAGTGCTGCCCAGATGGCGAGTTGCACCCACCCAAATGGTTTCCCTAATGTTTCTGATAGGGTGACTCTCTGGTTCAGGAAACCAAACTTGTGACCCAGAAGCGAAAGTGTCTGAAGGTATCACCGGGCCCTTTCCTCCGTCTCTCTGTTCCTGGCTTATACTGGGAGTGGGGCTCTTGCTTCCTGCTTCAGTCAAAGGAAGTCTGAGGCCCCCTGCCCTCCTACCCATTTTGCAGGGACTCCCCTTTTCACCATCGCCAAGATCTTCGTACCCCCTGGGGAGGTTGGAAGAACCAACCAGGAAGGGTTGCCTGACACAGAGAACCAAATGACCCATTGCTAGTGGCTCTGTGGCCTGGGGTCTCTCCATTCCAGGCAACTTCAGCAGCAGTGAAAGGGGTTTCTCTTTATAGGACATCGCTCTGGAGCTCTTTTTCCAAAACGGATATTCCAAGTTTCTTGTCTTTCACAACAATGATCGGAATAAGGTCTTCAAAAGGTAAGGGTTTGAAAATCTTCCTCCAAGAGAAATGATCATGAACTGACTGTAGAACAGAGATGGCTCTGCTCTGTCCTCAGGAACACTGTTCTCAACAGTGCTCAAAATCCACAGCAAGCAGGATTTAGGTCAGACACAGGAAGGACTTACTGACCTACAGAGCTATTAAATCATGGAACCAGGTACAGAGAAAGATGCAGAAGTGCCTTCTCTAAATCCTGGGAAATAGGCTCCATTTCATGGACTGAAGTAGTTTAGGACAGTAAGGACTAAAGAGGGAAGAACTTATGCAGACACAACACATTTTAGAAGCTGGCTGTTTAATGGACCTTCCAGAATCTTCTGGCTTTGTTTTTTTAATTTTCCAAATAATTTTTTTTGGCTTAATCTTTCTTTTTGATCCCAGTTGCCAATTTTAGTTGTTCCAATTTCATATTTCAGTGGAAAGAATTCCGAACAACTGATTTCCCACTTTTTCATGGAACATCTTTTTTTTCTTAAAGAGAGAAGCCTGCTGTTTTAGTTTAACTTCTTTCTCCAAATAGATGAATCAATCTAAGAAATTTAAGCTAGTGTTTAAATGTTTTGAGACTAATGGCTATTTTTTTCATCATTATTAAAGTTACAGACAGATTTGTGGAGAATCTAGAAGGGCCAGAAAGGAAAGCCATAGACAGAAAACACAGAAGATGGATCAACAGAAGGGGTGGTTCAGCTTCACTTTGGGCTGGGAGTTCTGAGGTGATATTTGACACCCCCATTTTGAGCTCAGAGGTTCTAGCCTTGCCTTCCTGTTGGCCCTGGCCAGTAACTGGCACCACGACCAGCTGCCGGATCCAAAGGGCAGAGCCAGCATGGAGAAAACGACTCCTGCAGAGAAGCTGTTGCACCAGCTCTGGGCACATTTCCATTGCCTGTGGGCTCTTCCAAGGAGGGCTGTTATATGGCCTCCTAAGGATTTCTTCAAGTTCCATTTTAGACCAAACTGAAGAAGTAGACAGGCAATGCGAAACCTCACATCCATTTCTCCCTGTGATTTCTGTGTGTTAAACACAGTTTTTCACAGTTAATCCAGAAGTTTTATACATCCATAGCTCAGGCAGTGAATGTTAGTCAAACCATACCCAACCCTGCTTCAAGGAGCCTTAAATTAGATGGCATTTTCAGTGGTTGCTGAAATTGGCAATGGAATTGTCAAGTGCCTGGCCCAACCTGCCAACATGCACCGTTTTTATTGTAATGATTGTTTTATTATTGTCATTTTTATTAAGGCTAGAGTGTATAATGCCAGGGGGTGCTGAGGATGTGTTACAGAGGTATACCCGGGTCTGGTGTTCATGATCTGGGGGACAGGATGGGGTGCGGGAGGGGCAAGTATGTACCCTACCTCTTGACTGGCACCAAAAATGTCTCCCTGGTGGTGGAAGAGTCTTGACTCTGCTGCTGGAATGATTCTTTCCTTTTTTGTTTAGCTTCTGCTCTTTCCAACCCAGCTTGAAGGGGAAAGGCATCACAGAGGACCCCCTCAATCTAAGGTAATGGAGCAGGCAGGTGTCAAGCCATGCTCTCTGGACATGGTACTGGCCTTGCTTTGATTGTTTTCATTTGTTGGATCCTACGGTCGAGAAGTCATGCAAAGAGCACATCTATCTACCTTCCCCTTCATTTTTGTCTCTCCCACCCTCATACTCTCGTCCTCCTCCTGGGGTTTCTTCTACCAATTAAACCTCTACAAAGGGACTTGAAATTCCATGAGCTCTGTGGCTTTTTCAGACCAAAATGCAAGAATCAGCCCTCTGCCCATGGTGGGCGGGGCAGGTTGCCTGGTGTGGTGTTAGTGCAGGCCCAGCCTTGGTGTCACACCCCCCAGGTGGGGGCTGTGAGCAATCCCAGCTCTGTCCTTCCTATAGGAGACTCTCCGAAAGCTTAGAAGCTCAGTTAGCATAGGGTGGAATGCAAGTCAGATATTAACTTATGAAGCTGGGATATGGAGCACCTTGCCAGGGAATGAAATACTTACAGCCTCCTTCCACAGCCTCCCTTTACAAGTACCTAGTTCTCTGGAAGGCTCATTCGGGATTGGTAAGTGCTTTTATTTCAATTAAGAATGAAATGAGAAGAAGAAATTGCTGGTTTTTGTCTAGGAGTTTATGTCGAGAGGGATGTCCCCAGCAGATTCAAAGTATTTATAATAAAAAATATATATTTATAATGACTGTGGAACAGGTACCGCCAAGTCATTCACAATAATTTATCGATAGCTTGTTGCATGTGGTGGTTGCTGCTTGACAGAGCAACAAGCAAAGCACCCAACATCTTCCCTGTCCTTATTGAGTTTACATTTTCTTGAGGAAAGTAGAAGGAAGCAATTTCAATGAGTGAAATACAAAGCATATTAGATAATAAGTATAAGTGTAAAAAAACAAAGTAGGTAGAGGTAGGAATTGAAATCTTAGGGTGGTAAGGGAAGCCCTCACCAAGAAAGCAATATCTGGATTCAGCTGTGAACAAAGTGGGGAAAGGAGCTATGTGGGTAACCAGGGAAAGAGCGTTTCAGGCCAAGGGAAGAGCAAAGCAAAGGCCATGGGGGGAGAGGGGGAGCACAGTGGGCTCAGCTGAAGCCAGAGTGCTTGGAGTTCAGGGAAGAGAGGGGAGAGAGGTAGCAGGGGCTAGTTCATGCAAGTCTCGGGGGCTTCTGGTAATGGCGTTGGCTTTTACTCTGAATAAGTGGGCAGTATTGGAGGAATGCTGTGACCTAACTTATATTTTAAAAGAATCACTCTGGCTTCTGTGTCAAGAATAAGCACAGTAGGTCAAAGACAGAAGTGGGAAACCAGTTAGGAGGCTTTGGCAGTAATGCAGCTGAGATTTGGCTGATGGCTTGGATCGAGGTGGGGGGGCACAAAGATGGTATGAAGTGCTCTCTTTATGGACACGTTTTGAAGCCATGTCTGCTGTGATTTGTTGATAAATCAAGTGTGGTGTGGTGTGTGTGTGTGTGAGACAGAGAGAGAGAGAGAGGACTTAAAGATAAGACCAAGGATTTAGGCTTGAGCATTGGAAAATGGATTGGGAAGACTGCAGGAAAAAGTACTTCGGGGTATGGTGGATCAGTTTGGGACATGTTAATTTTGAGATGCCTGCCAGACATCAAGGTGGAGGTGTCATGTAGGACAGTGGGTATATAAATTTAGAGTTTAAGGGAAAGGTCCAGGTGAGATGGAAACTTGGAATAGTATTTAAAACCTTGAGCCTGGTTAAGATCACCAAGAGAATGAGTCCACATGGAAAAGAGGTCTAAGGATTGTGCCTTGGGCTATGCCAACCTTTAGAAGTTAAGGACATGGAGAGGAGCCAGCCAAAGAAATGGAGAAGTTGTAGCCAGGAAGATAGGAGGGACTGCAGGTGTGGAAGATGTCCTTTAAGCCAAGTGAAGTGTTCAAGGAGGCCGTAGTCAACTGTGTTGGTGATCTAATGTTATTGGTAGGCCAAGCAAGATAAAAACTAAGAAATGGACCATTGAATTTTGCAACAAGGGGGTTATTGATGACCTTCAAAAGATCAGTGGGAGTAGCTGCCAGCAGAAGCTTCCTGTTGTGCCAGACAATAACCCTTTAGTTTGTAGATTGTGGGGAAGTCCAGGGCATAACAGGGGATGGGCCAGGAGGCCCAAGCAGCACCGGGCCACTAGAAGAGGGGTAACTGTTTTCGAACCGGAATGGGCATATTTCAGTAGTTCAACAATGGTACAGTCCCAGTTGTGCATATCAGCCCTGGTGATCTCATGTTATTTATGTTTCATGTAAAGTTTAATGTCCCCACTTGGATTTCTCTGCAACATTTCACTGCAAGTATGTAAAGCCACTTCAAACTAAATGAAGCCAAAAAGCAGATTCATCACCTCATATACCTGAAGACCAACAGAGGTCTGGCTCCAAGCATGGCTGGATCTCTGGGCTCAATAAGTCCCAGCACACTGTAGGTGTGCACCCCATAGTGAGGATTTCCTTTGAGTTGATTCCGTACTTGGCAGGCTGTCCAAGCACAATGCCATCAATGTCCCCAGTAGCTCCAGTCAATAACTTAGGAATTCCACCACATGAGGAATGCTCTGTCCCATTAATTTTAGCAAAAATCCCCAAAATGATATTCATTTGCTGAAGTTAGGTTAGTGTCCATCCCAGAACTAATCAAGTGTTTTCATAGGGCAGATCAGTGTCATGTGCCCACCCACCTTCTGGAAGTAGGATCAGTCCCACCCAACAACATAGACCAGACTGACAGGGCCGTGGTTCCCTAAGATCATCAAGGCTCTGTTATCACAAGAAGGGTGAATACTGAGGGGCCAACAAAAGCAGATGGCCATCCATTGCTCCATGTGGAAAGCTTCCCCAGGCACCACAGCACTCATGAGCTGGACACTGATTTTCTCTCCTCCTGGAGTTTTTCTCTTTGCATCAACTTTGACACACCACATTGCTGAACCCCATTTGTCTCTGAAGATCACCCTCTTTCTTATAAATGATGCCTGTGATATCACTCAGTAGGCACCCATCTGTCCCACAGCTGTGAATGTCACTCTGTCCATTCCTATACTGTTGCTCTCAGAGTCTTAGAGATGCCTTGCCCTGACAATACATACTTATGTCTGCACAGATAAGCTTCTCTTCTAAATTTCTGCCCCAGATGGAGGGGAAGCAGACAGAGGAGAAGCAGAGGGAAGAATACATAAGAGGAGATAAACCGTGGGTACAGCCACTAAGTTGGGGATCTGTACAAAAATGATCACCAAGTGTCAGGAGAATTCTTGGCCTGGGGATGAGTCACAGGTGTGGAAATTACTCATTTGTAGGGATGACCCTAGACACCAACCTGTGTACCACCTTGCACCTGTGGGATGACTGGGCACTGTGCTAATTTTATTTCCATTTTGTTTATTTTTTCCCTGACGGCTATCTGAGTCCATAGGAGCAGGATCTCCCATGGTCATTCTGCACCTGCTGCCACAGCCCCAGCACAGCTCCAAGCATGGAGGCCCTTGGGATATATAAAATGGGAAAGTTCTGGAGTCAGTTGGGAATAATGCATAATGCGCCAGAGAAAGGCTTATCTAAGCTCGTGGAAGGTGAGCTTTGATGAAATGGGGAAGCCCCAGTGGGAGGGCTGGTCCTAGACTCTGGGACCAGCCAAACAGCCAGGGACCTGGTGAGACTGTGTTGCAACAGCCGGCAGTGGGCTTTGAGATCAAACCGATTTGGGCTCACAGTAGGTGCTCAATAAATACTGTGATTCCTTCGCTTAGTTTTAGTAATAATGCTGTATTTGTAGGCGTGTATATGGAACAATTGATTAAAAACAGGTGGCTGTCTGTGCTCTCAGACCTCGTGCATCTTTCCTCTCTAGCTCTTCTCCCACCAGCCACACGGGACCTTCAGGAGTTTCAGAGAGGGAAGGCAACAGTGGCCCCCAGCCTTCAGAGGGCTCAGCTGGCCATTGGCCCATGCCTAGAGCAAACTTGATTATTTTCCATTTGGATTACTAAGGGAAATGCCTAATCCACACAATGAGTCTTGAAAAATACCCCTCCTTCCTTTCAGACATTCTAGGAAACATGAACTTCTCATCTCTGATAGAAGTGTGCAGTTCGTTTTGAGAGTTTTAAACTAGCCCGAGTCTTGGCCTGTGCCTTAGGTTTTTGTATCTTCAACTCCCAGCTTTTGAGAACTGATTTGGCCCTTCTGCAGGCCATTCCCTACATATTGGAAACCTGAGCTTTTGGGTACCAGAGTTTTGCCTAGAATTCCCATGGAGACAATGGCTGTCTCCATAACTGAATTCCAGGAAGGTTCTATGGGCCTGGATCCGAAGTGGGAAGTACTTGCAAAGCCTGGATGAACCTGGGATCTGTAATCCATCCATGTCTCCCCATGGTACAAGATTAGAACATTCTAATGAAAGCATGGTGACATCATCAGATATTCATCGGGTGCAAGATTCTGCAAGCCTCCAGGGGCTTCTCACAGAAAGCCAGCTAGACACTTCGCCGGCTAAGTGTCTGGCAGCCAGAAAGCCCCACAGGCAGGCTCTGCTGAGATCTGAGGAGGACTAGTCGGAGGAATAGAAGGAACGGCTGAAGTGACAGGGAAGGCCAGCTGGTGAGAATGTCCGTGTGAATAAACACATCCTTATACTCACAGTTCTCTGTACCCTCCACCAAGGGTTGCAAACTGCTACGAAATTAAATGCAGGTACAATGATCATTTTAAAATGACCCCAAAATTCCTTTAAAGGAGAAAAAAATAGATGTGATCAGGTACCTGGAGTGATCTAGTTACCTAATTGTCCTGAAACTAAGAAAAAAAAAAATACAATTGTTCTGGGTTATATCATTTTCCAGTGACAGAAAACAAGAAAGAGGGGTTTTGTGAACTTTTTTTTTTTCCTGGAAAATACTTTCTCTTGGCACTGAATATCAAATTTGTCCTTGTTTAAACGGTAGTGGGTACAAAGAAGGAAGTTCCCTTTTTACAAGATA